TTTTTCAGCTTCCTTTAACAGATCAAACTGTCCTGCAAAAGCAGCACATATAGGATTGAGACAAACCATTTAACACTGACTGGGGTGCTTACTACAGGAATCTTTTATTCACTTATATAAAACTTATATTCCAAAAGGGAAAACCGTTGCTGTAACTGCTTAAAAAGTGTTATCTGGAGTTTAATTTGTTAGTCAAGTCCATCTAAATCTGCTAGTCCTTCTAACACTACCCTTCCCACAGGGTGACAATGCTGCTGTCCAAGGGTGTCCGTTGCTCCTTCATAGTGTGGAGCCACCCTAAGGCAGGAAGTGTGTTACTGGCTGGATCACCAGGTCAAAATAAAAGAGAAACAGCCCTCAAAAAAAGAAAACTAATGCAGCCACCACATTTTTGTTTTGAGGTTTAGATATGCTTTAAATCTGTAAATGGTGATGTGGCTGACACAGGCACCCAACACATCTAGGATTATTAAATGACAAAGAGGACTATGGAGAATATAGTGCTGGAGTGGAGGGGAGGTAGAGCACAGGCCACCAGAGAGGTGAGTATAATCAGTCTTCTTTTGCAGGGAACTGGTGTTTTTATATCTCTGGAGACCTGACAGGGTATCTTTTGGTTTTTACTATTTGTTTATATCTTTTTAGTTTCACAAACAATGACCATTAGAGCAGGGTGAATGCTTGTGAGCTTTCTCAACAGAGAGCAAGCAAAAGTTGTATTCTTTATTGTAATCTGTCTCTGATTAAAACTCCATATGGCTCAATATGAACAGCACAAGGGCAGGGGATAGAGGGAGGAGGGGAAACACTACTTTAATTGAATTGGCTATATATATGATGATATATGTTAAAACTGCTGAGTGCTGTAAACTGCCTTGTCAGCAAAGCAGTTGAGATTAGCCCGGCAAACATGAAAAGGAGCCTAATGGTTGTGAAATTTAAAGCATTGGATATTCATGTGTCAAGTTTTATATCTTCGTTTAAAATTTTTTTTTACACCCGAACATACTACAGAACAAAAAATTTATATACACACTGCCTGTTGAAACAAAAAAGTTACCACCTGGATTTAGCTAAGCAAATAGGTCAGAGCTTTCCATTGGATAATAGGTCTAGGTTCAGCAACATTGTGTGTTATATTCCTCTTCATATCACAAGCTCCCCTTCACATCACAACCCAAGAGTCCACTTCACATGAGAAGACCCCCTTCACATCAGGAGCTCTCTTCACATCAGAATCCCCCTTTACATCAGAGCCCCCCATTCCTATCATAGTCCCCCTTTTCACATAAGAGCTCCCCCTTCACATTAGAAGCCTGCCTGTCCCATGGAAAGGCATGATGCTGTGCAAAGATTTGGAGGCACCCCTAAACCAGGCACGTTGGTTGAGAAAGTGTAGCCAGTGTGTAGAGTGTAGAGCTAGAGTGTAGCTAATCAGATTAGACCAAGAGGCAAACCCTGCTTGAATGGTTAAGCCTGAATCATACTTTGCTCACAGTTCCCATGTCAGCCAGTACTTTAAAAGAGGTGAACTAAGAGTAAAAGAGTCTTCAACCGCCAGGAATCATTTGTTATCAAGCCATTTGAATCTTGACCATATGCTAGGTATAGCAGAGGTAGCTGATTTTTGCATAACATCAGACTGAACATCTGTGATGAAACATCTAATGTAATAATATACTGCCTAGCCAATAAAAAACCTCACTACCTTAATTTAGCTAAGCAAATAGTTAAGAGCCTTCCACTGGATAAGTGTTATGATATGGGGTTACTTCAGTTGGACAGGTCTAGGTTCACCAACATTATGTTCCCCAAAAATGAGGTCAGCTGCCTACCTAAATATTCTGAATGATCCGGTTTTTCTATCAATTGATTATTTCATCCCTGAGTGCACAATGCCAGGATTCATTGGACTCAAAATGCTAAAGAATGGTTCAGGGATCATGCAGGGCCGGTGCAAGGATTTTTGCCTACACAGGCGAAGGTGAATTTTTCTGCCCCCCCCCCCCGCCACAATGCCACCCCAACATCCCCATACAATTTATTTGTGCTCTATTAAGCTATAGTGGCTCTCACTCTGAAGTATGCTGCGATACCTAAGATGTATAGCGCAATAAACATTTTTGGATGTAGGCTCACTCTAGACCCCACACATAGCTGAGACCCCACACAGCCCACCTGAGAGTGACCCTGCAGAGCACACCATATATCCGTCACAGCCCACCTTAGACTCTCTATGGTGGGCTCTGCAGGGTCTCAGGTGGTCTGGTTGCCGCTTCTGGGCCCAGCCCTCTCCACCTCCTCCCCTGTCACCTCTGCCATGCCGCCCCTGGTACGGCCGATACCCATGTAAGTAGCCCAGGCCGCCCAGACCCTTCACATGCGTATTGGCCATACCCCCCTGATGGCGGCCCTAAGAGCGGTGAAGGGTGCATCAATTTTCTTGTGGGGGGCAATTGCTCTGTTGCCTCCCCCC